GGGTGGGGGGCAGCGTGCACAGGTGCGCAGGAGGAGAGGGTGGCCTGATGTGAACATGTGTGTAGGGGGCCAAGGGGAACTGATGTGCACAGGTGTGCAGGAGGGCCCCGGGGGGGGGGCAGCGTGCACAGGTGCGCAGGAGGGCCGAGCAAGGAGCAGCGCCATCCCCTTAGTTGGTGCTGTCCCTCCCTGACCCCGGGAGACCCTCCAACTCCGCGTGGAGCCCTTGGGGGAGGTTCACCTGCTTTGTTTTCAAAAGCCAGTTGGGTAAAGCATCAGCCCGTGAGGCACAGCAATCTGGCAGCAGGAGGAGACCTCGCTTTGCAGAGAAGCCCACTGCCTGTGTGTATTTGGAAAAAGTGCAGCTGCAGCCTGGTGGAGAGTGTTTCCTGGCAGGCAGCAGGTCAAGGCCACAGCATGCATCTCAATTCCTCTCCCTGGTACTGAACTCGTACATTCCACCCCAAAACACCGCCACCACCCCAAACACAGTCACATGGCACAGCTTGTAACAACCGTATTCCTGTCGTCTGCCTCCCAAAGCTGCAGATGGGTGTCCAATCTCCGCAAGCTTGCGTCATAAGCATGACTCAGTAATGGCAGATGGACAGGAGGGCGTTTAGAAAATGCAGACTCCGAAGGACGGCCGGGACAAAATCCACTGGTCTTCTCTTGTCGCTTATTTGGTTGAAAGCAGGTGTTGATGAGTCTGCAGGCTCCACCTGGACTGAGAGCCTGGCCGTCCAGTGAGGAGAGTTCAAAACGCTGCAGCCAAGTCAAGAGAACCATGTAGCTGTTATACATCTCTCTCTCTCTCTCTCTCTCACACACACACACACACACACACACACACACACACAAAACCCCCCAGCCGAGTCAAAGCACCATGTTCCTGCTGTACATCACACATGTACGCACACACTCGCGCACAAGCAAGACACCACAGCCGAGTCAGAGCAGCACGTTCCTGTCACACATCATTCACACACACGCTCGGAAACGAAGAACACCCCACCCTGCAAATGCAGGGATACCGCTGTTACCAACTAGCATCAGCGACCAACTCCGTGTGCCATGCCCCCTCCTCACAAGACCAGGTTCCACCGGCGCCTCTGCCTGGGCTCTGTGGCACAGGTCTATTTACTGCCAGGCCGCTCCCCTACGTGAGCACAGGCTTAGACTCTGCCAACGCTGGTTACACCCACAGTCCGCTTGAGCCGCTATCCTGCCTGATACAAGTAAACATCGCAGGTGAGGAAGGAGAACACCTGAGACGGCATTCCAAAATTAAGGCATAGCATCCAAGACAGGCAGGCCCGACACGCAAGCAGCACGCGCTCCTGCTCGCCTCTGGACGGCTGTGAGCAAGCTGTCTTCTCTGGGGGCTGAGCGGGTGTGGGCGGTGGGCACCACGAGAGCCACTGAAGCGCCCCTGCTGGGCAGGGAGCGGCGGGGACGGCGAGGGAAGGGCTCCCCTTTCTCCAGAACGAAGTGGACTCGTCGTTTATCTCATTTACGCCCCACAAGGCCTGCTTCGCTCCAGCCCGACGCCTCACCAGCAACATGCAGGTCGATGGAGAAGTCTGCTGAGGGCCCCCCGTCTCCTTTCGCACTTCAGGCGCTCCCATTCCCGAGAACACGGGGAGCGCCTCAAGGTTAGACACCCACGTGGTCTCCAACACAGGCTCACAGGCGACAGTGGTTGGTGAAGCTGGGTGACAGACACACAGGGGCCCGTCACGGTTGTCCCCCGCTGTGATATGTGGGGAAATTTTCATTTAAGAAAAAGAAAAAAAAAATTACTTAGGTTACTCCAATTCAGTTTGAAATCATGCAGCGGGTAGCAGAGAGTTCTGACCTATTTCCTTCACAGAACGGAGGCTAGTTTATGACACTTTAGGGCCATACTGTGAACTGGTGACGGATTTCCCGCCCCACACACAGGAAAGGGAACGTTCAGAGTGGAGACAGAGCAAAAGCAGAGAATAAGCTACACAGAACGGAAACCTCCTTCATGCCTTCTAACTCTAATAGACCAACTTTCAATAGAACTGTGTTAGCATCGCATTTAATTCCTCGTTCTTATTAAAGTATCTTTACAGAGGCAAAAAAAAAAGTTTTCAGATGACATTTCTGAGAAAACGTGAAAACTTTTACTATCAAATTAAGAACAGGCAGCAAAATCAGCAAGCTATTCTGCATTTTTCAAAAGATATGGGGGGAAGGGTGGGGCAAAGAGGCCCCACTGGAATGAAGCAGAATTACAGGATCGGATTTGTACAAAAGACAGTGGATTATACTTTCATCTAGGATTTAAAATGACAAAAACGGACAGTACAATTTATTGTAAATCTGAAAGAACGATACATTTCTGAAACAAAAACACAGCCGTTGTCAAAACAACGCACACATGTGGTGTCAGAATACAGTCTGTCAACAAAGCAGCGGTCACCGAGGGCTGATGGGGACCATGAGGCCCGCTGCCTGGGTTCTGCCATCTGGGGTCCCACGCCACATGGCATCCCACTGCGCGCAGGTGGCCATCCTCAGTCGGCACGAGAGCAGACCGAGCCTGCAGTTCCCCTCATACATCTAACTTGGTCTTTTGTCCACGCGGAGACTTGGTCAGACAACCAGAAGGGATCCTGGTCCATCTGCATGAAGACTTCACTGTCTTTAACATAAAATGCATAACACTCTTTCTGAAACCCCTGGTTCCGCCACTCTCCAAGATGAGCAGTACACAGAAATCAGAAAATAAAGACATCACGTTGCCTTAGAAAAGCTGTCCTTGAAACACGTCGTCTGCAAGTTTCCAGGTCACTCCTGTGTGCAAACGTGAGGGGATGGCTGGATGAAGACACGGATGTTTGCTCAGAGGCCACGTGAGTTCCAACCTAAGTTTATAGCAAATGTCCACAGAGCCATCATTCCACAGCCACGTGCTACAGTCAATTTTTGTCTCAAATACAAGTCCCGATAAATGCTTGCCTTTTCTAAAACCCAGAAACCTTAATTCAAGTGACAAAATATATTAGTTCTCATTTGATTTGTAAAAATCCCTATGTTTCAGAAAGATTCCACACTAGAGGGTATTCGTCACATGAGTTCACGGTATCAGGATCACAGAGTACCAGATACTCTCAAATTGTACTTACTTCAAGGCACTTTCCACAAGAAAGCGTAAAAAAAAGAAATAAACTACCTCTATAAGACATAACTAGATTTTAAAACAGAGGACAGTGAGAGCCTAATCTGAGAAAGCAGAGAAATCTAACTGTTCTGTAACTTTCACTACCTCAAAGTGGCTTAATTTCATTTGCTTGCTGAAAAAGAAAAAAAAAAAGACCACAAGAAGGTGACAGAGGGGAAAAGCCCATGCAGCCACGATCCTGGAAGGAAGTCTCAGGCCACTCACAGATCAGAGGAAGTTAACTCCATCCCCCACACAAAAAAACAAGAATAACAAGTGGATTAACTAGTTTCACTGACAGCTAGCTCATACTGGTTTTTAGCATGGCTCATTCAGCCACTCGAGGACTAAAGTGGTAAACAGCACACCTGGGAACGTTTCACGCCCGTGACAAACCCATTAGTGCCCTGCTAGTCTGTGGATCACCCCATGTACCAAGGACTTCCCGCTACCATACAGCTCAGCCCTGCTGATCGTAAGAATATGTCCAGTTGATGATTTATTATGTAAACAACCTTACATACACTAACAATAAAGCCCGTCAGGAATATGCTGACTTACCTTGTGCTTTCCCAAAAATGTAGTTTTATCTCTACTTCTCTCCTAAAGTTTGTCTTCTAGCTTCTGCTATATTTAACCTATTAATTACTGAAGACTAAAACTCCCTTCTCCTCTAGCTTATTTTTATCCTCAAACCTCAGAGGAAATAACCCCACAGTAAGTCACATCTGAGGGTGGCGGCTGAGACAGGCGAAACACATTGTTTCTATGGCTAAGGTCAGGATATACTTCCCCTCACTCAGCCTCACAAAACCTAGACACATCAGTCAGTCTGGAGGCTAGAACATTCTAATGACCTCATCTCTGCACCTGTCACTAAATTCATAAACCATACATGTGTAAGACTAACACTGTCAAAGCCCTGCCCACTGAAAACAGAAGCAGAGAACTTGGAAAAATGTCACCAGACTCTAGATGAAAGAAAAACAAGCCAGGAAGTGCAGGGACCAGAGTGCATCACAGATACCCAGTGCAAACACAGTGTGCTAGCCCCACCAACGGCCATCCCACACCCTGCATAAGCCTGGTCACCAAGGCACCTCTTGCTTCCCAAGAACAAGGCAGATGTCCCCAGTCAGCGGCAGGGGTCTTCTCTCCCGAGCCTCGGTGCCAGGACACCTGTTTGAGCATGAGCAGTCAGTCAGGGCCACCGAGTCACGGCATCCGCAGCAGAAGCGCCCGGGTGCCGTGAGGGCCCACTCATGGTGCCTCCAGGATCATTCCGAAGGCTCAGCAGTTCTAGAAGAATTCTCAATGCGGCTTCCAGCACTGTCTTGGAAAGGCCATCAATGCCCAGTGGCTCCCTGCAGTGAACGCCGTGCCCGGCTCCTCCCTGCAGTGAACCCCATGCCCGGCACCTCCCTGCAGAGAACCCTGGGCCCGGCGCCTCTCTGCAGTGAACCCCGTGCCCGGCACCTCCCTGCAGAGAACCCCGTGCCCGGCGCCTCCTGCAGAGAACCCGTGTATTTGAGCTGTGGTTGCAGGGGCATACACAGCACCGTGCATGCTCCCCTCCAAGCAGGGGCAAGCACATGGGTGACAGATGAGGACACAACGGTGAGATGGATGGATGCTCTGAAAGGCTGGAGTGCAGGCCAGCTGAGCTGCACATGGTGGCTCTACAAAGGCTCTGACCGACCAAGGCCTCTCCCGGCGGCCTCATTGTCGGCCTCACTCCGGCGGCCTCACGCCGGCAGCCACAGCACCCTGTGCTCAGACAGCTGTCACCATCTGCACTGGGTGGCCTCGCCTTGTGAAGGGCCACTCCCACGCCCGTGGGCCAGGTCCCAGGACCTACCACTGCCATCACCACAGGGGAAAGCCAACCCTAGAACACAAAAGGTCTGTCTCAGGTGAGGGAACTTCCTTAGAGGCCATTTTGGTCGTTACAGAAATCAGAGAAGGCTTTATTTCCAGCAACACTGCGTAGAAAAGACGGGCCATGGACCCACTGTGAGCACGTCTCTAACACACAGCACCAAAATATACGTTAAAAAAATAAAAATCATGCAGCCCGTCCCTCACACACACACCTCCCCAGAAGCCACACAACCCAAAACCAAAATGGAAGAAAATCAAACTCCATACCCTCACATATAAGAGTCCTGAATTAGGATTTACAAATGTATATATTCTGTGCTACGTAAAAACAAACAAACCAAAAACCAAGGGGGTAAGAAGGAACCTTGAGATGAAAGCCGGACGAGCCTTAGAATTGAGAGAACATACTGTCTGCCTCTTAGCGCTTTCCACGTCCTGAGTGGGAGGCTCTGGGACTGGCACCCTGCAGGAGACGGCACTCGACGCAAACGAGTCCTCCAGCAGCCAGACCCCGCGAGCGGGGAGCACGCACCACACGCGTCGCCTGAGGCAGACGGCTGCAGACACGGAGGCTTTCACTGCATGTTTTCCAGCACTTGACAGGGCATTCTCCCCTCAGAAAAGATGCCGATTCAGAAACAGGAAAAGGGGGGGAAGGAGTTCTCTACTGCAGTAAAGAGCTTGCGGCCACCCACGGCTGTGACGTCCTGGGCGTGGCGGCGCACAGGTCCCTCGTGCAGGCTCTACTTGGGCTCCTCGATCACGCCCTTGCTGAGATCTGTCATTTTAGGGTATTTCACTTTCTTCTGGTCCAGCTCATTCTGAGCCCAAAGTAGGAGTTTTAGTAATTTTGCCAGTTTGGGCGTTGACTCACGATTTTCATAATCTAGGACAGCCTGGTTAACTTCACTCCACACCTAGAAAATAACCACACCCAATGAAAACAGCTGCGTCCTAAAGCACCAGATACAGAGCAGAAGCAATTAATAAATTCATTTCCATACACTTTGGAGAGCATTCTACGTGAGCATGCTTTCCAAAGGGTAAGCGCGGAGCTACGAGGCACTCGGGGGACATGTGCACAGCCCTGGGCCCCCGAGGGCAGCTGGGCCCCTCACCTTCTGCCGCTGCATCGTGTTGAGGAGGTCTCCAAAGGGCGACTCCTCGGGGCTGTCGAAGGCCAGCAGGGCCAGCGTGCGCTCCATCTCCGTCAGGCACTCCCGGCTCTCCTCGCCCTGCTCCGCCAGCTGTGTCTGGGCAAACTCCAGCGCCGCCTCCGTCTCCCGCTGCCGGATCAGCTCGATCAGATGCTGCTGCTGCTCGGGGGCAAAGACAGCGGCTGAGGCCGCGGGCACCCAGGCCGGCCCGACAGCGCGAGCTCGTTTCTAGTCCCAAGTGCACCTCAGAGGCAGCTTTTCCCAGCACCTCCGAGCGATAACGTGTATTTTTAAACAAGAAATCCTTTCTGAGATATCCGACAAACAACAGCTAACTCAGACCCCTTCTCCACGTGAACTGGAACGACACCCTGTTAGAGCAAACGAGCCTGGCTATTTCTGAATTCCGACAAACCGCCTTCCTTACGGACCACCCCAAACCAGCCGCCACTCACCTGCAGGTGGAAGTACAGGTAGCGGTTTGTGTCCAGGAGCTCCGGGTGGAGGCTGTTGATCCGCGCGATAGCCTCCTGGATCCGACCTTTCAGGACCATCTCTCGGATCTTGATCCGTTCGTCCAGTGTCTCGAGATCCACGCTAGGTTCAACCCCAGACTCCATCCGGAACTTCTCTGCCGCTTCCTTAAAGCCCTCTGAAAATGAAAAAATCTTCACTGCAAGGAATACTAGCAAGAAACCAAGATAAAGACTTTTCATTCCAGGAAGCCCACTTGTGCCATTAAATAACCTCTGATACAAAAAGGACTTCCTTGGGATTTGATATTAATACCTTTATAATCGACTCCTTTTTTCCATTTTGGAGCCCCAGTGGTGCAGTGGTTAAGAGCTCAGGCTGCTAACCAAAGACCAGAAGTTCAAATCCACCAGCTGCTCCTTGGAAACCCTATCAGGCAGCTGTACTCTGTTCTACAGGGTCGCTATGAGTCAGAATCAACTCCACGGCAACAGGTTTTTAACTTACTACTTGAGATACAGAAAACGAAAAGGGTGTGATTCATTCCTTCCCATCTCATCCACACACACTCTGGCGTCTCAGCTAGAGGCTTGGGATGATGACCTCGAGCTCAGAATTTTGGTGAGGACGCCTCTAAGAGACCAAGATCCTACAGATTCTCAGAGGCCACACGGCTGGTTCCGGGTGATTCACCACAGATCAGCCGAGCCATCAAAGTGCCTGTGGTGCCAGCTTTGTGTGCACTGACCTGGCGAGTCCCATCTGCAGTGAGTCCACAGTCCACCATCAACCCAGACTGTCTGTCTCTCTCTCTGCACACGTGCAGCTGAAGGCCGGCACTTCATCATCACTTGTCCAACTTTTTAAGCAGAGACTAATTTTGGGGAGAGGAACTGGGGACCATGAGGAGGAAGACTAACTCTTCATTTCATACCTTTTGAAAACATCTGGACTTTCTTACCACATGTATATAATTACCCCTTTTTCTCCCAAATATCAGTGAGGACTAAGTCTTAGGATACTAGACCACTTTTACACGCTTCTGGCCAGGAGAGATCAACTATCCAGGCTTCTCACATACTTCTCAACACTCTTAATTATCTTGATTATGTGGCTGTGAAACTACCAAAGATCAGGAGACAAGTTTTTCCTTAGGTCTCAGAGATCCGGAATAGCTAATCTCCCAGAAAAGCTTCTTTAAACATGATAGCTTGTATATTTATTACATTTTCAGTTTTTATATTATCTTTTGTACACAACATACCTTTACCCTTGAACTGCAGTGGGAAAGCTCTACCTGTGTGTACAAAAACGGAAATTCACGTCCAAGAATTAGTATACTTATTGCAAACCTTTACCTGTGACAAGGTAGTTCATGATGAGCCGATTCATGTCTGCTCGCTGAATATGTAAGTTATTGAGCTTTTCCATCCACTCATCTTTCGTGATTTCATCGGTTTTTTCTGTATAACTCATTCTGATTAACTTCTACAAGAAAAAAACAATATCTTAAATAAGTGGTGAAGAATTCTGACAATCATGACCATTTCCAAAATAAACACACAGCCATGTCATCAAAATGAAAAGGAGAAAGTGGAGAAAGCCTTTAAATCCGGAAACCAGGCCTGAGACCCAAACGTGCATCTGGAGACCAGGAAGAAGTCAGGGTGTTTAGAAGGCGGGATAAATGTGAGAGTGCACCAAGATGTCTTAGAACTAAGAAGTCGAGAGGTTGGTCGGGGTCAGCTGAGTAAGGCCCTATAGGCGGAGGGAGGAATTGAGACTCTGCTCTAAGTGCAAAGGACAGCCACTGAAGAGTTATAAGCGCAAACATTATATGCTATGATATATGTTCTAAAAAGAAGGCTACAATCTATACCCACTAGACTGACAAAAATTAAGACGACAACAACACCAAGCGTAGGCAAAGACATGGAGTTCTCTTGAACGCTTTCATGCTGCTGTTGGAATAGACTGGTACCATGGAAGACCACCTGGCATTCTCTTGTAAGGCTGAACACATGTACTCCTCATTGTCATTAACTGCCATCGAGTCAGCTCCACCTCATGGCAACATTATGTACAACAGAACAAAACACTGCCTGGTCCTGTGCCATCACAGTGATCACTGGTATGTCTGAGGCCATTGTTGCAGCTATTGTGTAGTGCCTTCCAATCTCCAAGGTTCATCTCCCAGCTCGATATTCAACAATATTCTGTTATGATCCATAGGGTTTTCATTGGCTAATTTTCAGAAGCAGATCACCAGGCCTTTCTTCCTAGTCTGTCTGAGTCTTAAAGCTCCTCTGAAACCTGTCCTCCATGGGTGACCCTGCCGGTATCTGAAATATCAGAGGCAAAGCTCCCAGCATCATAGCAACATACAAGCCACCACAGTACAACAAACTGACAGGTGGTGTACTCCTTACAGCCCAATGATTCTGCCCCTGTGAGATGTATACACCCTAGAAAAACTCACAAACGTGCACCGGGTACATATACAAGCCTGCTTACAGAAGCACCATCCAAAATGGCAACGATGTGGAAGGTACTCAACGTCCATTCAACAGTAATGTGAACAAATGAACTGTGGGATACAGAACCACAATCCCATGTCCAAAACCACTGGGTTGACGTGTTCTGGAATTCAGAATTCTTCAGGTTACAGAACAATTACGTGGCACAATTTACCACATATTGACATGACATCCTCACTGGGGTCTGAGGCAGCACCCCATAATCACACATTATTTCTTCAGTGAGACGTACAAGTATTCAAGGGGAATAAGAGCCACCAAACAGCCTTACACAAATAAGACCTGCTCCCGAATGGGTTAAAAACAAAAACAGAAGTTTTCAGTTTTCGGAGCTCTGGATTTCAGGATTGCTGGGAAGGAACTGCAGTTGTTCACACAACAGAATTGGACAGAACAGTTACGACGAGCCCACACAGTCACGAAGGTGACTCTCAGAAACCACGCTGAAGGAAAAAGCAAGTGGCAGAGACCTAAGTGTGGCATCATAGTTCTGTAAAAACCAAACAACAAGGAAAACTAAATCGTATGTGCTTTAGGAATAAACGCATACGTGCCAAACCCATTTTTATAAGTAAGGGCATGAAATATAAAACTCAGAGGGGCGGTTACCTGTGGGGAAGGGGTGGCAGCTCTGCCAGCGTTCAGAGCTGGAGCATGGCTCCTAGGATGCGTGAAGCGCACAACCGTCTGCTTCATTTTTAGGCTTTGTAACTTACATACATGCTGTGGATATTACTTTATGCATAGTGAAGTACACGATCTATTGTTTCAATAAGTAAGGGAATTGAAGGATGGCTCCGGTTTTCTGGCCGACGACGGAAGGTAGGCAGGATGGCAAGAGCTGAGCAGGAAGACCAGGAGACAACATCCAGGCTAGAAAGGATGGCTGCGTGGACTAAGATGGTAGAAGAGAGATGGGAAGACAGGCCAGATTGGGATTCTCTGAACACTGAGCCATTGGGACTTGCCGATGGCCTGAAGGTGGGGCAACGGGAGGGAGGGATCCAGGAAGATCACAGGTGCCAAGCTCGAGACCTTGGAGCATGAGGCCACGAATAAGAAGGATGGATGGGGAGTGGAACAGGTTTGAGGAGTACGGCAAGTTTGGGGAGACTATTAGACAAGCAGGTGGAGAAGTCAAGCAGGCACCTGATTATAGGCCCCAAGCTCAGTGCTGGAAGAATTAATTAAGGAAACGTCCACAAACAAAGGATATTTAAAGAAGAGGGTTTGGCGAAGATCACCTAGGGAGGAGCGTAGATGGGGCGGCAGAGGGGGAACAAGACAAAGCCCTCAGGTCCTTGGAGGATGCCAAAACACAGACAGCATGCAGAGACGGAGGTGCCAGAGCAGAGTATAATGAAAGGTAGTAAGTAAAACCAAGATGTGTTGTTGCACACTCATCTCTTGTAGCACCAGGTCAACGCCATCACTCACTAAGATGAAATGTGTACTCGGAAACAAGTAATGGTAACCTAAGGACCTGCTGGCCCGGAGGTTAAGAGCTTGGCTGCTAACCAAAATGTCAGCAGTTCAAATCCACAAGCTGCTCCATGAAAACGCTACGGGGCAATTCTACCCTGTCCTATAGGGTCACTATGAGTCAGAATCGACTTGATGGCAATGGAGTTTAAGGACCAGCATGAAAAGCCCTTTACAAAAGGCCCCTTTCTCAGTTTCCATTTGGCAATCAGCAATCACAGAGAACCACCTGGGGGAGGTGAGTTCGACCTTAGAAAGCAGCACTGTGGAGAGCTGGCCCGTCTGTTTTCTGCAGGAAGAACTGGCAGCCTCAACCTCCAACAGTTACATATTCAACAGAAACAAGCCAGCATCACAAATCCTTAACTGCCAAGATACATCCCCAAAACACCAAGGGCCACGACCACCTGATTTCCACGTCACAACGTCCGTGCTTACCTGCTCAGTTTCTGCTTTCAAAAACCAGGTTTGTTACAGAAATCGTTCTCTTGTTGGAAACAGATGTAAAAGGTCCGAGTAACTACTGCTATTCTCGTTGGCGGCCGCCGCTGAACGTCAGCGCTTTCACGTGACAGATGCTCTCTTGAGGAGGAGAAACTGGGTGACAGCTCCGAGGCACAGCCAAGGTTAGGCGTCTACTTCGGGCGGGAAGAAAAAGGCCAAAACCAAGGCAAACTAAATAATCCGTGCACCCTGGGTGACCCTGTTGGTATCTGAGCTTCCATCATCACAGGCCGAGGAGGGAAACACGTCCACCTCCAGAGAACGCGCCCCGTTCTCGGGCCTCGGACCCACAACACCCCCACGCGGGACCCCCTTCGGGACCGTCCCGCCCAGCTCCCGGCCCCGGCCTGCCCACGG